AAACACAAGAAGGAGTTTACCATCAGGTTTTTGTGTTGTACGTAGGAAGGACGAATTGAACAACAATCGGTCTCGTTCAATAAGAGCACGAGACGGTGCTTTAGCCTGCGAGGAGGTCGCTGGTTTATTATTAGTTCGAGTGACGAGAAAAGACGAGAAGTAGTAAATGGAGACCGATAACCAGAGGACCCATTTCAAGTGTTTGTAGCATAAAAAACACCCTTTCTCTTGGTTTCTACTGTTTCTTGCCCCATGCAAAATCCTCATCTTCTCTCATAAAGCTATAAGGAAAAGAAAACCAAACTCTCAAGATTACTTGTGAGTTGTAATTTCTCATAGTGGTTGGTGTGGCCGGTGAGGTGGTGCTTTCTGTATTTGGTATTTTTGTTGGTAGAGTGGGAATTAAGAAAGGAACAGGAGATGGATCCTACTCACATGTAGCTTTGCTTGTTGGAACTTCTTTTTTGCTTAAATAGCAAGATTTTTTAACTACCGAAAAATGAATAAAAAGAGGAAAAAAAAAATGTGATCCAACTTTTTCCCTAATCGTGTGCTTACAGAAAGTACAACTGTATTTACATCTATCTATCTATATCTATATCTATATCTATCTATATCTATCTATCTATCTATCTATATCTATATCTATTTATCTATCTATCTATCTATATCTATCTATCTATCTATCTATATCTATCTATATCTATATCTATATCTATACTACTCTAAAAGGATGAGTGTTTTTGTAAAAATATGAACTACCTAAAATAACCTTACTTTGACATATTTTTAATGGCAAATTAGTAATACAGTAATACATATTTTAATTTATATTTTTAATTAAAAAAATAAATTACCTAAAAAACTGTTACTTTAACATGTTATTAATGGCAAATTAGTAATACACTAATACCTATCATATCTTATAATTTTAATTAATAACTAATGCTTAATTACTTAAATACAAATACATGAACAATACATTTCACATCTCCTAAAAATCAAACACAATATTCACGCACCATTAAAATATCATGAGATTTTAATTATTATTATTTTATATGAGCCACTGATTTTAAAGATGTATGCTAAATAAAAGAATGATTTGAAAGTAAAAAAAATAATAAATCTGATGAATAACATTAAAAATATAATTAAGGTGTAAGGCTTGCTAATAAATATGAAAACAAATAATAAATAAAAATTTTATAATTAATAAAATTAAACATAAAACTTTTAAAACTTATATTTATCGATGTAAATGAATCGAATTGTTTATTTATTTTTATTTTTTGTGCTTATTAGTTCTATGTGTAACTTTTAGGTGATAGATAATAGTTATTTGTAATTTTATCCATGTAGGTTGGAAATTTTAATATTTAAAGAAATGATTATTTTAATTTTAAATAAATTTTTATTTGCTATTAGTTTTTTTAATATAATATATATATATATATATATCATATTACAATATAAAATAATAATTATTTTAGTTATTTAATATTAATACGTAAAAAGGTTGTAATTCAATTGAGAAACTAATAGGTAATCTTGAGTTAAAATGACGAGTGATTTCTAAAAAGTTATTTAGACTAAATAGTTCATGTGTTTAATATATTTTTAATAAAAATATTATAAACGCAATCAATTAATAGAAAAACTACAACATAAAAATTTTAATATTTAAAAAGGAATGCAAAAAATAAATGTTATGTTGCAATGAAAAATCCAACGATAAGATGTTCCACTAAAAATTCTAAAGGATATTTCATTTGCATAGCTTTCATTTGAAAATATCATTGGCTATTCCAACATAGATCAAATTATATTATAATGAAATTTTAATGGATTTAATGATTCAAGTTACCATTATTTATTTCTTGTGTGAATTTTCTTTTTGGGAACATATCAATGAAAGTTGCATTGGAAAGTTAATTGCAGTGATAGATACAGACAATTTCATATTGGGGGCACTATTTAGCTTATAGAAAAAATATACCATCAAATTAACATAATGTCATTATAATATTTAAATTTTACTTTTCAAAATTTGTCATCTTTCTCATCTGTAATACATGTTTACAAATCTTTACAGTTACAATAAGTTAAAAGTATTCAAAAAAAATATAATTTTTCTCAACTAAAAGTAAGCAAATCATTGAAAAAAATATATCTTTTAAAATCTGATGAACAAAAAATTTATGTTGTAGTATAGATGACTCGACAATTTTGTTGCTGAATTTATAAATTATGACTAATTGATTCTAATATTAATGAGAAAATTGTAATTGTATATAATATAATATTAAGATATATAAATAGATTATATATTAACACATATGACCAAAATAATATATTCTTTAAAAATCTTATGAACAAAAAATCTATGTGGTAGTATAGTTGACTCGACAATATTGTTAATTAATTTATAAATTATGAATAATTGACTATAATATTAAAGAGAAAATTGTAATTGTATATAATATAATATTAAGATATACAAACAGTGTTCTGAGACCCGGACGGGCCCGGCGGGTCGACCCGGGACCCGGTCGACCTGGAGCCGGAACCGGTCCGGGTGGAGTATTTGGACCGGGCAACCAAGGACCCGGTCAAACCCGGTCGACCCGGCAGAGACCCGGTTGACCCGGGGCATTGACCCGGTCCATATATATTTTTTATATTTTTTTTATTTTTTTTGTTTTTTTCAAAAATAAAAATATGTATATATGTTTATATGGTAAATATTTATCATGAGATACATATTATTAACACTTTAATATACAAATTTTATACACAAAATATTTAATTTTGTTACTTTTATGTATATTTTTATAACCAAAATACTCTATATATAATTTTAAAAATTTTAAAATTAATTATCCGGTTCAGCAATTAACCCGGTGACCCGGTGACCCGAGGACCTGTCCGGGTTGATCACCGGGCCGGGTTTAAAAACTATGTATACAAATAATTGATATATTAACACATATGACCGAAAAAGTTCTATACATAATATTATGAATTTTTAAGCAAATACAAACTTTAAAAACATATGAAAGAACAATATAAAATAAAAAAAAAATATTAAATCTGACAAATGATATTAAAAATTACTAAGTTGTAATATGTATTAATAAATATTAAAAAATATTAAATAAATATGTTATAATTAATAAAAGTAAACATAAACCTTTTAAAACTTATATTTATCAATGTAAACGAGCAGGGTTGTTAAATGCTTGTTAATTTTTGTACTTATTAATTCTATATGTAACTTTTAGGTGATATACAATAGTTATTTTTACCTTTATCCATGTAGGTTAGGAAAAAAAAACACTTGATTATTCTAATTTTAAATTACTATTTATTTGCTATTAGCTTTTTACATATAATATATATATATATATCATATTAAATATATAAATAATAATTATTTTAATTATTTTACATTTAATATGTAATAAATGTAACTCAATTGGGAATTTATTAGGTAATCTTGAGATAAAATAATGGGTTACTTTAAGAAAATTATATGGATTAAAAAGTTCATGTGTTTAATGTATGTTATTAGAAAAATTGTAAACACAGTTACTCAATAACTACTACCTAAAATATAATGTTTAAGAAGGAATACAAAAATAAATTGGTATATTGCAATGGAAAATGCATCTGTAAGATATTCCAAAGAAAATTCCAACGGATATTTCATTGGTAAAGCTTTTATTGGAAAATTTCATTAACTATTCCAACAGAGAACAAATTAAATTACATTGAAAATTTTGTGAATTAAATAATTCCAATTACTATAATTTATTATTGTTTGAATCTCTGTTGAATTTTTTTACGGATCGTATTTCAACCGTTGAAAAAACTGTCATAGAAATATTAAAAAAAATTAATAGAAGTTCCATTGGAAAACTAATTGCAGTGGCGGATCCAAAATAATTTTGTATTGGGCACTATATAGTTAATAGAAAAAGTATACCATCAAAATAACATAATGCCATTACAATTTATAAATTATACTTTACATAATTTGTCATGTTTCTAACTTGTAATACATTCTAACACATCACTACAGTCACAATAAGTTAAAAAGTATTTAATAAAAAAATGACGATTTTTCTCAATTCAACATAAGAAAATCATTGAAAATAATATTTTTTTAAAAAAAAATTATAAACAAAAAATCTATGTTGTAGTATAGCTGACTCGGTAATATAATTTATTAATTTATAAATTACGAATATATAACTAGAATTCCCCTTGCATTAGTTATAAAAGACATAAAATATATATTTTGAAGATATAGAAAAAAATATGTTGCAAAAGAGAGATTTGAAACTGTCATCAAGATTGAAATAGTATAATTAGAGGATAAAATTGTAATTATGAGATATATTATATTTTCTTTAGTTGTGATGCCGCGTTTATGTTATAACATTAATAAAGTTATGAGTTGAATTAAATTATAATTGGTTGAGTTGTGAATTAATTCATTATGTATCTTTCTTTCTTTCAATTTCATTTTTAAAATAGGGACATGATAAAGATTATGAAAAAATGTTCCCACAAATTTTTATTAGATTCCTTACGCTATATGCTTTAGGATGGAGGGTTGTGTCGGATCTATAAAATAAACATAGATCTGCTCATGATTCCAATAAAATATTTTTGCTAGAATTAGATTCCTTGTGGCATATTTTTCTTACATAGATCCGAAAATTCATACTAAGAAAAAACAAAAAATGGATGTAAATATACAACTATCACCAATATTAACTATGTGAATTAAAAGGAGAAATAAACGAGTTGTATGTGAAATTTTATTCAACTAACACACAAATTCAATGAGTATGAAAATGAGTTCGTTGCTTAATATTTTTCTCAAACATTGGAAAAAATTTCTAAATCTTTTAATCTAATAATCAGTATAAAAGTATATTTTTTTTTATTAAATATATTATTATTATAAATATATAAATAAGTAATATTAAATTTTATTTTATCTTATGTGATTATATTAGTTGTTGTCTAATAAATAAGATATTTTGATAACAACGTTATTATATGAAACACGTACAAAAAATGATGCAATACATATAAATGTGCTAGAATTCGTTTAATAAATAAAGTATTATTTATCACTAGAAATAAAAACTAATAAAATAATAGTAATGGAATTGAAAAAAGAAAACGTCTGAATTTTCTTAGACAAGTATGAATACCAATATTTAGAAACAAAAAATCTTTTAAAAATAAGAATTTATTTGTTGCTAGTGTTTAAATATATGGACTCTGTAAGAAATTGGATCTAATA